TTCACACAATCCAGTCATTTTGTCTGCTTTTGGGCAATATAGATACATACTAAGTTTCAGTCTTTCTATAGTGTTGAAATCGAGTCTTAGTGCGTAAAAATCCAATCATTTGATCAAAAGTTACTTTCGTGTTATGTTTTGTAGATTTGCTAATTACTGAATTCTTCGAAAGATTCCAACTTCTGATTCAAATAATGTGACAAACAAATGTTCCATCCATTCAAGGCGAATCGAAACACTGTTTGCTATAATAATACATAGGCTAATGTAAAATAGATTTCAATTTAACTCTATCAGCCAGATTACTATAATGTACCTTTGGATCAAATAAAGAGGACGAGGGAAAAAAAATAAAGAATGGGGGATGTTAGAGAAATCTTGCGGGCACACCTTCCCCCTCTCTCTTTCCTCCGGGAGATCATGCTCCAGGAGCGGGGAGAAAAGTCAACCCCCCGAAGAGCAAAAACCGACACCGCTGACACCATAATGACTTTTCACACAACTTTTCTATTTTTCGCTTCCCTCTTCAACCCCAGCCCCACCCCCTATCACTTTCATTCACCTTTCCCCCACTTTCTGTAGACCCCCCTTTCCTTTATACCGTCCATTTATTGCTAATTCGCCCTCTTTTCATCTGGAACTGTGAGGGGGATATGGCGTTAAAAAGACCATCTCGCCTTTGTTGGGCCCTACTGACTTATCTTCTACTATTATTATTTGGTTTATTTTAATTCTTTGTGTCATTTTTGATTCTCTTCCCCCCCCCGTCCTTTCTAGGGACCCTTTTGAGTGACAAATTTTCATTTTATGTAGTATGCTTTTAAAGGTTGAATGAAGGTGTCACAACAAGACATTTGTCCCATTCTCTCTCTTTTTTTTTTTCTTTTTTTTTTTGTGAGAACTCCACTTTTTGAAAATGTTTAGCAAAATAATTAAGAAGCACCCCATTAAGAGGACGTTATACACCGGAAAAATTTTTTGATGCAAAATTCTGTTTCTGCTCATTTAGAAAGTGTGGAGTAAAATGAGTTCAGATAAACTGTAAAGTTTGAAATGTTTAAAGAAAAAAATATCTTCAAAACCTTACTGCGAAATCCTGCTATATGCTCTCATTTTGGAAAAATTGTTTCTGCCTTTAAAACTTCGTAATGAACCTGAATTCACTTTTTTTTTTTATGTTCTTTCAATTTTAAATTATTAATAGAGATAAAACGGAATTTGCCATGGAGTGTTTTTCTCGGTATATCGTTCCATTAAAATCAATACTACATTCTCAGAAACAATTATTTAATGTTGACACATAATATGGAGTCGTAAAACTATGATACGAACAAATTTGCTATTAAATTAAACAATGTGTTTATTTAAATTAGAAAACAATATCAAGTAATCAAGTTTAAGTTGAACGATAATATGTTTAAAATTAGCGCCCTGTTATTTTCAATTTAAAATTACTAACACAGATAAAGCAGAATTCGCCATGAAGCGTTTTTCTCGGTATATCGTTCTATTAAAATCGATACTACATTCTCAGAAAAAGTTGTTTGATGATCAGCCATAATATTAGAGTTTTAAACAATGATATCAAGCAAATTTGCTGTTAAATTAAACAATGCGTTTAAATTGGACCACAATATCAAGTTAATATGTTTAAAAATTTATAATATACGATTATATACGAAATAAAATATACGAAAAAATTTATACATTATGCGATAATATGTTTAAAAATTAGCACCATATTTAAGATGCAGTAAATTGTACGATATTGTGGTTCAACCAGAAATACATCGTTAGTTCACAGTTTCTACTTTTTCGAGATATATTCGCTATAAGTTATAAACTTTTAAGTCATAAACTATTCTTTCAAATTTTATAAATGGCAGTACGTATCAAGCAATAAAAATGTTTTTTTTTCCCCCCAAGAAAATACTTTAACTTTCTTGAAAATACTTTTGCAAATGTCTAGAAAAATTTTAAGTTTAGTTTTAAATATTAATTAATTTGAATTCATCATCTTACTAAATATTACAGTGAAAAATATTTTTCGTTAAATCATGAAAACATTTTTAAAAAATTTGAGATTTTTTTTCACATTTTGATTAGCGTTGTGAATTTATGTTCAATTGACAATTTAAAAAAAAAAAAAAAAAAAAAAAAAAAAACTTATACATTACATTCACAGTTAATCTAATAAATATTATTAAAAAATTGCAACTTAATCATAACAAGTAAACACAACCTTCACAACTCAAATTTAAATGCGAAAAACATTTTTGTAAAATTTAGGGGAATAGAAAGAAAAGCGTAATTTTTTTTCTCCGTTTGCTTCCTTAAAATATTAAACAGTTTCATTAAACGATCACCGCAATTCCTAATTAATTTCTTCTAAGAGACGTTTTTAATGGAATTTTTTTCAGAAACGTTCAAAATTCAATTGTTATCAGAAACGTTCATAACTGATCTCTTCTCAGAAACGTTCAAAACTGAATTGTTATCAGAAATGTTCATAATTGATTTCTTCTCGGAAACGTTCAAAACTGAATTGTTCTCAGAAACGTTTATAATTGAGTCAAAAACTTTTATAGTTTAATTCTCTGAAACTTTCGAATCGATACATCGTTAAACTATTAGAATATAAATTCTCCTAAATAATTGAAAAGTTAACAAAGCAATAACCAAACCTTATATCCCACTTTTTTCTTTGACTGTAATTTAATATGAAAAAATTAAAAATAATTTTCAAACTAAATAATAATTTTTTAATAGAGTGTTTATTAATTTTTTTACTTTTGGGTAAACTTTTTGAGCGATGTTTTTAAACACTTCATTTTCAACTTTAAGAGCATCTAGCACTAACTTATATTTGCCAGGTTAAGAAAACGTTAAAAGCATCTAGCACTAACTTATTTTTGCCAGGTTAAGAACACGTTAAAAGCATATAGCACTAGCTTATTTTTGCCAGGTTAAGAACACGTTAAAAGCATCTTGCAATAGCTTATTTTTGCCAGATTAAGAACACGTTGAAAGCATCTAGCACTAGCTTATTTTTGCCAGGTTAAGAACACGTTGAAAGCATCTAGCACTAGCTTATTTTTGCCAGGTTAAGAACACGTCAAAAGCATTTAGCACTAACTTATTTTTGCCAGGTTCTTATAAAAGCTATTTTTAATGAGTAAAAAAGTCGTAAGTTAACTGCTTGATATTTCTACAAGTTATAGAAATAAAAAAACAAAGTTATATACAGATGCTTTATATAATATTAAACTACTATTTTAAGGAAAGAAAAAATTAAAGTTAATTTTTAAAAAAGGGAATGTTTAATTTATAATTTTTTCTTCCTTTAATTATTTAAATTAGTTTTGGATTTGAAAAAAATAAACTGTTTTTTTGAGATCATACAGATACCAAATACCAAACCAAATACACACCATACCAATAGATACCAAATGCATACCAAACACAGCAATATTAAGTTGTTGTTTTTGGTCTGTGACGTTTAGTAAGCTATTATAAAACTCAAAAATTTTAGAACTAAAAAAATTTTTAATTTTTCATTATTTTAGTTTTTTTTAAATTATTTTTTAAGAAAAATGCGCTTTGAGATTATATGGTCTGTTGACTATGGTCTAAAGAATGTCATATATTATAATAAAACTCGAAAAGTTTGGAGAAAATTTTTTTTTTATAAAAAATTTTTTTTTGTTATTATTTTAATTCTTCAAAATGAGTTTTTGAAAAAAAAATTATATACTTTGAGTTTATTTAAGTTGTTTATTTTGGACAGTAGAGTACCATAAAATTCAGGAAATATTGAAAAAATTGTTAATTTTTTTACTTTTTCGTTATTTTAAATTTTTAAATAACTTTCTGATAAAAATGAAATATGCTTTAAGCTCATATAGGCTGTTGACTTCAGTCAGACAAGCTTGATAGGTTATTTAAAAGCTTGATACTTAATAAATGCAAATTTTTTGTAATTTAATCTAATAATTAGGCTCATTGTATAAAAAGTAACCTTCAAAATTTGTGGGGGGAAAAATAAATGAAAATAACGAGGGAAAATAAATTAAAATAATAAGGGAAAATAAATGAAAATATTAAGGGTAAGCGAAGTCTTGTTTGTTATATAAGATCACATTCCTTTAAATTAAATCTCTTGTCTTAAAACAGAAACAAATACACCAGGTCCTGATTCGAAGAGCTCTAGGCCTTGCACAGAGTACTTGATTTCGAGTTCCTCATTCAAAGTCAGTACTGACTTCACTGATTTCTAAATCCTTTTTAAAGAAAAAAAATTAAGTGTAAAATAAAAAAAATAAGAAACAATAACAGCGAAAGTCGTAAAATATATTATTGCTGGAGTTCAACGAATGATTTAGAATTTATTAGAAATTCAGTTGGAAGAATTTGTTTTCTTTCTGTTTTCAATAAAATTATCTTAGTTGAATTATTAGCTAGATAGTCATATTTCAAATCACTTTTGACTCTTTTTCATCCACAGTCTTGAAAATGGGAGCCTATTTTAGAGCGCTGGAAACATGTCGACTGTTATTTCCGATTTGAAGGTTTTGGGAAGTGAATGAAGTTTATAATCAAGTACCTCTTCAGTTTCTTGACATTATTTATCTAAAAGTTAGCTGTGTTAATAATACATAACGTAATAAGCTTCGAGAAAAAAAATAATTTTAAAAAAATAATCTAAGCTTTAATTTCAATAAGTTATTATTAATTGCAACGATACAAGAGGTAAGGTACACGTTTTCATGAAGCGGAACTAAAATTTAAAAATAAAAAAAAATGAAATGAAAAAATTTAAAAGAGAAAAAAAAAAGAAAATTTAAATTTTAGGCAGTGATATTCTAGGGCCACAATATGCCGGACTCAGTGCCCATATGTCCATGTAACCAGGCGCTATAGGAACACAAATAATACCCATATCCATGCAATCACAGAGTTCATTAACATTTTTTGTAAAAGAAAGAAGAGGAAGAATTTACCTGTGTGCTAGGCGTAAATGCTGCGTATCCAAATTGAGCGTATGACATACTGTTCTAAGAGTTCTCAACTTGTCCAACACAACTTCTGTTCTTTTTTTTCTGTGTTTCTATTTAAAGTCCATTTTCGAATGCATTCATACGGGAACAGACGTTACCCAAACATCCCTAAAATACATCATCGCGGGACGTTTCGACGTCGATTTATGATTTCGATATCGAACTCACTAAGCCTAACCGCAACACTCTGTTTGGGCTACCAAAAGGATGCTTTCTGGGGGGTGGGAATGGAGCTTAAAGGGGGTCTGAATTCACGATAATCCCCCTAATATTCAGATTGCGGATTGCGAGTGCAGTTACATCAGCAAACAAATACTAACTGACCAGACTACGACACGCGCCCGAGGATTGTCAACGCCCACTTCTGACGCTCTGGGCGGAAACTAGAGAAATGAATACTTCTCCGCCCACCGAAGAAGCAGAATGGAATGATTGACGTAAATGAAACTCCGCCTTAGCTTTTTTTTAATCCAATCAAAAAGCAGTATTTTCTGTAAGTGAATCTGTGGATCACAAGAGGTTGTTTTCTTGTAATTCCAGCTTTAAGCTCTTATAATAGGGTTGTCGAACATCAGTCGGTGATTTCGGCGGAATTTATCGGTGATCTTTCACCTTTTTTCAATCACTGTGGGGAATAGAAGTAGGATTTTTTTTCTTTTTGTTCAAAGTAATAAACATTTTATTTTTGTTTTCGTAGGAAATTCTTCCGGTAAAATTAACAAGCGCTAATCAAGGTAATATTTCAAAACTAATGCTAGTCTATTATTACTTTTTTTCTTTCTTCGCTTTAAAAGTTGTTGATTTATTGTATTACTAATATTAAAATATTAGTAATTTATTTTCTTAGAAAGATTTTCTTCCCCTTTTTTTTTTTTTTTTTTTTTTTTTTTTTCTTCTTTCTGAATTGTACTGGGTATTAGTAACTAATTCTAGTAAAATAAAACTTTTCCAGCCTCAGTTTTACTTTAAAAAAAAAAAAAAAAAAAACTGTTAATTTATAAAAACAAATTTTTTATAATTTAATGCATTCATTTTTCTCGTGGTGATTTTTTTTTAAATTTTTTTTTATTCATTTAGTCATTTCCTCAATTAAATTTAGCAAACAAAACAAAAATTTTAAAACATACATAATTAGTCTAACTTTTTTTCGCGTTTTATTTTGCCGTTATCGTTGTTAACGTATGAATCTTTTTCTTTTTCGTCTTTTTTTTTCTTCGGGTGAAATTAAATAACGTTTAGCAAGCGGATATTTCAGACCTAAGGCCTTTGTTACTCTTTATATTTTAAATGTTAAAAATTGTTAATTTATATTTATAAATAAAAATTGGCTGACTTAAATAATTTTATGTATTATCGTGCAAATTATTCCATCCGCACATAAACACAATTTTTCTCTTTTTTTTTTCTTTTTCAAAAAAAAAAAAAAAAAACAGATTTAGCCACATTGTGAGACACTTGTCTTAAAATAATTTTAATAATACTTTTCGCAGTTTTTTAGTTAAATTGATGCGAGTGAAAAGAAGTCCTCTACACTGGGGTTGACCTGTTTGCGAAGTTATCGACTCAAATTATTTTTCAACAACTTTCTCTTCTTATTTCCCGTAACTATAAGTTAAAAAAAAAGAAAGGAAGAAATTATTTTGTTAAAAAGGTATTAACATCATAAAGTTACGTAAAAATTAAAGCTGTTAAAAAGATAAATTTTTTAATAATAGAAGAGCTGTGCATTATACGTTTGAGAATATAATACATTCAAAAAAATAACATAAATTTAAATCCCTCCCCATAATTTTTTTAGTAAACTGAATATTCTGTGTAATATATGTGTCGAATATCGTATGTCGTCGTCATATGTTATAAATACATTTGAAATGGACCAGTCAGAATTTGTTATCGCTACAACTTTTTTTAAGGATGACAATTTATAAGAAATCGAACAGATTAAAATTTTTAAAGAAGCATTCTTTAACTGTTTGACAGGTATCTAAAATCGTAAAATTTTCACCTGCGTTCAATATAGAGTTCAATGACCCTAGAGAAGCGACTATATTGCGCCAACTTTAAACGACAAGATGTAACGTTTTTGTTTTTAAAAATATTTCAAAATGTTCAATATGAGATAAAACGAACGAACGTTAATGCTTTAACTTATTTATCCTACATATTTCGGGATGTTCTAGTACAAAGGCCCAAGCGTGTTTTACACGTGGTGCGTTTACTTAAAAAGAAGAAAATTAAAAAATATGCAGCCTACATAAATTGACCGAATGCTAGGATTTTTATTTGGATTTCACTAGGATTTTATTAGTAGACCTAACCAGAGAAAATTTTTATAGGTCTAATAGGTGGCCCACAATGTGGTCCAATAGGTTTTTTTTTTGTATGTAGATATATAATAGTGTGTTCAATAGTTTTAAAATGAAGAAATTCGATGTCAATATTGTTTATTACAACATGGCCCTATATCTCCCCTTAATATTGACCCATAATATTCATGGATAGGCTTCCACCATTGAATAGGCTGCTTTGTGGGGTTTCCTCAGTTACTTTGAAAACAGTGACAGCTCGTCGGGCTACTTATTTTTGGCACTTGATTTTGGCAGCAAATTTGGCAAATTTATAGGTATATACGCGTTCATGTAGTAATTACTTTCCATATTGCGCATGCCTATGCATAGACTTTATAAAGTGTTACCCATTTTTTATGTTAATTTAAAATGTTCTGGTGGCTCAGGAGATAGAGTGTTTTCCTTCAATGAGGCGAATCGAGTTTGAATCCTCCAGCGATGGCTAGTCGATAAGAATTCCGCACCCAGTTCGCACCGATCCCAATGCAGACGTAAAATATCCTCAGTGGTAGACGGATGCATCAGTATACTCTGTATTAATAATGCTCCTTTGCATTAAGGATGTTCTTTTGTCTTAATAATGTTGTTCCTTTATGTTATGATTTTTCTTATATTAATAATTAAAATGTGCAGGACCAGATCGATACGAATTCCGCAACAGGTTCACACCGACCACACTGCTGATGTACAATATCCCCAGTGGTAGGCAGATCGTGGGTTGGAGTCCCTTTGCTGTCGGGCTAACCCTGGGAGGATTACGTGATTTGATTTCCTCTCCGTGTAACGCAAATGCTGGTAATTTCCACCAAAAAGTCCTCCACGAAGGCTCGCAATACTGAATCCTGGAGTTCCCTAGTCTCCTGGATTGGGTTCAAACTGACAAGTTAAACATTGGTAGTCGTAAACTGTAAATTTGGTTTGCTGTTCAACGACGGTTGTAAAAAAATAATAAAAAATATTAACTAAACATTGTGAAAATGAAAATAAGTGTCCCTAACACAATGTAGAAAACAGATCGTCTTTATTATGCCAACGGGATTTCTTACCGTGCCTAGGTGGGAGGACAGGTATAAAGCAGTGCCTGCAACACTGAAATCTCCTTTCAAAATTCTTTTAAAATGAAAAATAAACAATACCGTAATGAAAGTTTGGAAAAAAATTTCAACTATGAAATTATATTTAAAATTACGGAGTGAAAAAAATTCGTCAATGAGTTTAAGAGACCATCGAAGGAAAACACAGAAGATTCCTTAACGAATATTAAACTCTAAATTAATTTTATGAAATGAAATAAAGCGCAAATTTTGTTTTACTCGAAAGGAAATTTTATGAGGAATTAGATTCACACTGGCTGACAAAAAAATAAGGGAAATGTTCTTAAACTGGTTGAACGATGTACGTATTATGTATATGATTCGACCTGATTTCATGAACGATATATGTGATTTTGAGATCGGGTGATTTTTTAGAACAGCTAAGAGTTGGAGAGAATCGAGAGGGACTTGAAAGAAGGAGGTTACTCAATGAATTTTCGACTACGACTTCAGATAACTAAATTATAATACAAATTGTTTTTACATTTTACTCATCTAATTAAATATTTTTTTGAATTTAAATTTTTTTCTTCCTTCATAAAATTCATTTCTCGACTCCAAACACCTTTCTTTGTCCCTTCTTTCTAATTACAAGAAAGAAATACGGAACAATTTTTGGATAGAAACGATTTAAAACTTTTCTCTGTATTATTTATTTAAAAAAAAGGTCAAATTGCATTAATATTGGGAATTCTTATCAAAATAATCATACATGAATATTCATATTAAGGTTTGCAAATATTTAGACCATGAAAAACTCATAGAAATCTAGTGGATATCTAGCGAATATCAGGAGGATATATAGCGAAACCAGTTTGATTGTCCGATGAAAATAGACGTTTCTATGACTGTTCAACTTTTCTCTTTTTCTTCTGGCAAGTGAGCAGGTTTTGAGGTTTTTAGTCCAAGATTTCATGAAGTTTTTTGCTTCTCATTTTAATACCATTTGCGACTACAAAAGAATATGCTTTTCTGTCAACATTTTTCGACAGGGATTCGAAAAAATATATATCAAGGATGGTGATTAAGGGACACCCTGTATTATGCATAAATCATTCTTTAATTTACTTTCTTTTATTCTTTTTCAAATAAATCTTTCCGAATTATGTCAGCGATTCCCAACAGGTGTTCCGCGGAACGTTGGGGCCCAGTGAAAGTTTCACAGAGGTTCACATTTTTTTTTAAAATTGTAATTATACTTAAATCTAATCAAGTGTACGTTATTTATATAATATTTCAGATTTTTTTAATGAAGTTAAACGCTATTAAAAAGGAAATGTCGAATTTTTTTTAAAAAAATATATCGAATTTTTCTGACATAAAATTAATTATGAAAATGACAGAGAATCCAGAAGACAAGGGAACTCCTCTATCAAGTATTAGGAGAAATTTATCTTCGTCTAAGACTAGTTGATGAAAGTAACCCTTCATCCATCTTGAGGATATTTTACATCAGAATTGTGGTCGGTGTGAGCCGGATACGGAATTCGTAGCGACTAGCTATTGCTGGGATTCGAACCCGCTTTACCTCTTTGGGAGACGAGTGCTCTAGCCTTTGAGCCACCAAGACTCATTTCTTGTAATTGTAGTTCCATATTAATTGAAATAGTTAAAATAAAAATTGTAAAGGGCCATTCAAGTACTACGTAAGCATGTTATCGGCCATTTTTGAAAGAAATAAGCAAATCTCAAATCCCCTCTCATACTTGCGTAAAAAAAGTCGCTGCAATCCCCTTGTATGTTGACTTTGACTTCTACTGCTGTAATTTAATTTTAGGGTCACACTCAAATATACGATGTCATTTGCAAGAGACGAAATTCTTTTTGCTATTTATTTTATCAAATTTTTGAGTCAAATATTCTTTCGAAATCTTTTCTGTTTTCCTTTTAAGGTCTGT